GAGATGGCGCGTACGTTTAAGTGTTAAGATTAAAGATGAAAGCTCCCATCGTACGTAGTAGCAACAACTATTTGCAAGACAGAATAGGTAAGCACTCATCCATTTACCTACGCAAGCCTACAGGCTGAAATAGAGAGCTGCCACCTGTAACTAATTAACGCAGGGAAAAACTACACAGTACTATCACCACCACATGCACTGGCAGTGGCATAAGTTACATGTAACACACTGACAGTACAGAATGCCATCGAAATTATACGATTTAAGGAGCATAAACCCACAAATCTTAACCGCTCGACGTACGGTCACGATATTCGGGACGTGGGGTGGTAATCCGAAAACGAGTTGGGATGTCGAAGCTGGGGGTCAAAGGTCAAAGGTCATGAGGTGTAAAAGAAAGGGGAACATTCCCTCCTTAACTTAAGGTATAGGGAGGAAATGCAGAATTGCGGCACAAATCTAAACGGCTCGTGATAGTCGGTGTATAGCATAATGGTAGGAAAAGCCATCACTGTGCCAAAATTGGAGGTCACAGGTCAAAGGTCAATGGGGCACAGGGCAGATTTTAGACATTTTCTGAGGACATGGTCTGACGGAGCAATTGAAAAACTTTTTTGTTTCAGCGGTGACCTACCATTTTTATGGCTTTATTGAAAGGACTATGAAATGTACTTTCCGCTGACATGCTAAGAGTAAGTGTCGGATAACCTTTTGACCCTCAAGAGGAGGGTTAAACATGGATTTGTTTACTGTTAGAAAGAATTTGACTGCCGGGTTTTCTAGTAGAATGTATACATGCCTGGATGTATGAGGCTACAATGTCACAGTGAAATTTCAAAAGCTAAATTTGGTTGAAGAACCCAACTGTTGACGGACGGACAATCATGCGATTCTACAAGCTGCACCTGACTACGTCAGATGAGCTAACAACGTTGTTATATATAGTCAATGACTGCGTGTATGCTGTAGCTGCAGGTGCCGACTTGTTCTTGCTGCCAGTGGATTTTGTCACTGCGATCCGCAGTATTGATCTGCCCATCTATTTGGTCAACATTGTCTTTCTCTGCCTTCGATATTAAAGTCTGTGATCATAAAGTCGACAAGTTGATAAACTCTTCAACGTTCTACCAACTTTTGAATTCTATCAGATGTTCAAAGCATTAACAAATTACATTATCGACCATGAGTCGGCAAACGTTTAAACATTTCACCCGCAGTGTGCGCGTGGGGCAATGTGGGTATGCACCAGGTGTATCCAATGTGGCGCCGATAGTAAAAATGCGGGCGCAATTAATCTTTAATTAATTAATTAATTATGTTCTTTAACGACCTGAATGATGACAACAGAAAAAAGGCGGGTCAAACAAACTAAGATTTTATAGATAACTTAAGACAAAATATGAACCTGAACCATACCTATTGAATTTATATTCCAAACAAGCAAGAAGAGCATTAACCAAACTAAGGCTTAGCGATCACAACCTAAGGATTGAACAAGGCCGTCACCAATCCATCCCTGCTAATCTTAGATTCTGTTTCCAATGCAATAACGGGTCAATAGATGATGAACTCCACTTACTCTATGACTGCACTGCCACCAACCACATCAGAAAAAAGATAGAAGACAAATTTATACACTTTACATTCGTGATGTCACGATCATCGATTATACTCGATCATAGGTTGAACAGTGGCTCGAACCAAGCGCTTGGTTATCAAAATGCATAATCGATTTCATCAGAAAAAAAAAAAAAATTATTTTAATTTTAAACTGGAACAAGAAAACTTGGAAAAGTGATGAGAATCAGAGATATCATCTCTACTATACAAGTTATCCTTTATTAACATACATGTATTATACACACAGTAGTAAACAGTGCAAACAAACAGTAAACAGGGCTAAACAAGCACATACATACACACGTACATGCACACGACGTTACGCACACGCAGGCATTCAACACCCCGAGTACCCGATTACTTGGGTCCAACCGATGATCGATTACGAAATTACAACCGATTGGCAACACTACTCTACATTCCTAGGTAAATCATCCATAAAATGGTTATTCATCACAAATCATGTGGCCGATCTCGTCGAACTCTCTAAGTTTATCGAATATTCATCCAAGCTACGACAAGATCCACCCGAAACATAAATGGTGAGATATACAAATAATAAATTAAATCACACCACATATCCCAATCTAAAATTTAAAATACAGAGAGGTTTAGACCAACAGTCGGGCTTTACCAGTCCTACATCTGAACTCAGGGCGCCTGCAGTTTCCGATATCAAACGTTACTATCTGCGGCAACCGATACCACGCGATACTAATACTGCGATAGTGAGTCTACCAGAGCTCTGAGTCTACTCACATGAATCTTGTTCGGTGTAGTTTAGGAGTTTGAATTTTATTACACTAGTTTGAAGTGTTGTTTTTTTGGTTAGAAATGAACGTTAAATTATGTTAAATAAAAATATATATTAGCATGTATTATGATGTAACATTGTGTCATGCAGTTATGTCATAGTTTAAGTAGACACATCGTTTCTCTCGTTGTTATTACTATTAGCCTAGGAACTCGTTTTATTGTAGTTTGTAGCCTATTTCAGTATTTTCCTGTATGATCTGCGATTATCCGTGAAATAAACTCTATTTGAATTTGAATTTGAATTTTTAATTACCCCTGGGTGGAGGGACGCACCTGATTGCTATTATCTGAGTGGTTGCATGGGAAAAATTTGATGAACTCGCTGATCATTAGTTGAGAAAATAGAACATGGTCTAATCTCTCAACTAGTTGACATAAATTAGTTGAGCGCTCAATTAACTTTCACGTTTACACTGTCGACTTTTGGTCGATTAGTTGAAAAAGTGATCAACTCGTCAACTCGTCAACTTTTCAACAGAAAGTTGATCATGTAAACCCAGCTTTAGACTTTGAATACTAATCTTTATGAGGTAGGGTTGGACCCCACTCCACCTCCCCAGGACACAGCCTTCAAGTTGGACATTCAGTCAAAGTCAAAGAACCCTCAACACCCTCAAAATAGAAAATAATTCCATAAGTAACATGATTAGAAATAGAACAAAAGTCCCTACCTTTTTATTTATTTTATTTTTTTAATTCTATGGTGGTATTGCCTCATTAGGGATCATTGCCTGCCATAACCTTAACAAACTACACCACTTGGCAACCTCACATGAACTTAATTTGCTGTTGTCGATTGCTAAATGAAATAATTTAGTGTGGAAGTGAGAGAGTTCTATATGAGTTCTATGTTCTGGGCTTCAATTGTAGATTAAAACAGTGGGGTAAGGAATGCATTAACTTACTATTTTTCTGCAATAATTTAACATCTATTCATAATTTGAAGACGGTTTTCTGCTTTCACACTGTCAGATGTGATGTATTAAGTTAAGGAGATGTAGACGAGAAACGATAGCCAAAAACTCATAAATTTACACAGATGTCAAGTTATTTAGCCAAAAAATAGTAGGTTACCGCATTTTCATCGGAAGTTCATAGAGGTTTTGGTGCGGACCATAATTTTGTTGCGCTAGAGGTGCGTCAAGAACATTTGGCATTGTCTGGGAATTGTCAGAAACATTTTAGTCATATTATTAGTACTAGTTATAACCTAACCCTAATCATAAGCTGGGTCTTTCGGCCTAGTGATCTGTAGGTTATTGAATCATCCAAGAGATATCTTCAGTCTTGTTCTTTTTTGCACGACAAAGGGTGCACACGCACCAATACACATGGACACAGAGAGAGAGAGAGAGAGAGAGAGAGAGAGAGAGAGAGAGAGAGAGAGAGAGAGAGAGAGAGAGAGAGAGAGAGAGAGAGAGAGAGAGAGAGAGAGAGAGAGAGAGAGAGAGAGAGAGAGAGAGAGAGAGAGAGAGAGAGAGAGAGA